CATAGAAATATATTCTGACTTAGTACAATATCATAAAACATATATTCCATAAATATTACATGTTCTAATATTTTCCGTTTCTTTAACAACTCCAAGGCACATCATTATACGTAAAAGTTTCTTCTAGAATGAATAATAAATAAAATATAATAAATATTATTATATTTCATTTTTAATGTAATAAAGCGATTAAAATTTTAATGTAGTTATTTTAATTCTGTTAATTTAATTTAATTGTTAATAATTAATACTAAAAAAATCTATATTTTAAAATTAACTGTATATTAATACTAACTTTTTCTCTTTAACAGGCTCGTATAAAAATAAATTACTAGAGTTTACCCGTTCTTTCATGGAAAACCTTCTACTTACTCACCGGTCAGTTTTGCAAAAACCCTTCACTCACAGAACGTAACAAGCATACTCGCTAAGCTTCTCTGCAATGGCCGATTCCGGTCTCACTTCTAACAAGAGGGTTCCTATAAAGTCCTCAGGTGCGTTTCTATTCATCCCTAGATTGTCACTTCTCAGCAGTTCAAAGTTGAAAAAAAAAATAAAAATCAAAGACAAATGCTAAGGTTTGTAAAACTCCGTTTTTGAACTCTGACAATAAACCTAATCTAGAGATTCAATCGCGTGTTTGTTTTGTTTTGTTTTGTTTTGTTTCAGTTGGGAATGCCGCCGCCAGTAGGAGACGAGAGCATGCAGTCGCAGTTGGGAAAGAAAGGAGGGGATCGCTGATGCGAGCGAAAAGACTCTGCAGAGTGGGCATTGGTGGTGGCGATTTCGAAGTTGCCATTGACAGTGACATGTTAATTGATGAAGAGCAATCTATTTTGGAGTCTCAGACTTCAGTGGCCGTGGAAAATTTGAAATCTGCCCTTGCTTTTCAGTAAGCTCTTCCGAACTCGTTGGGTCTTCAATGTTCATCTTGCTGGAAGTGTTGGTTGTTTTGGAATTCGGCTTTGTTTGGACTTTTTGGAGAAAACTTCTCCATAAGCTTTCGGAGAAGAAAAGATGAAATTAATTTCTCTTGTAAGCTAATTATGTTTAGCTTATGGATGAGCTAATTTGGAGTTGATTTCTCCCGAAGTCTCCCCGAATTGTTTTTAGCTTATGCATAAGCTAATTTTAGCTTGTGGTGAAAGTTAATTTCAATTTTTTTTCTTATTTTCTTCTTCTGCAGTGTTTGTGGAGATGTTAATCCAAACAGAGGTGGTTGTGGTAAGACACCGAAAGAGGTATAGTAAATTATTTGTAGTTTGTGGTGAACTCAGAGGACTACTATTATGAGTAAATGGGGTCAAAGTACTTGCGACTTTGTGAAATTGTTTAATTTGAAATTGTGTAGTTGAAACGTATAATTAGCCAATAGTTTTGTTGGTCTGAGGATGTAAAACCCACCTAATGTTACGAGTCTTCTGATTGAGGTGGGATGATCTACGAATGAAGGAAACTTATACAACAAAAGATTGGTGTTTTGTTGTTTTATTTCTTTTATATTGTAGTCCTAGACTGGTCTTTTACTAAATCTTTCAGTATTGTCTTGGCTATGTTTTTATACAAACTGAGAAAGACTTAAATTGTGTCAATATAGTTCCTATATTCATTAACTTTGGCTTAAGCATTTCCTTTTACGTGTTCAATCAATAGGGGGAAGGGTGCGGTGAAGAAAAGAGTTGGGGCCCTTCAAGAATTAAGGCGTTTGCTGTCAAGATCTGAATTTCCTCCTGTTGAGTCTGCTCTTAAAGCTGGAGCTGTACCCATTCTTGTGCAGTGTCTTTCGTTTGGTTCTCCAGATGAACAGGTCTGAAGTTTCTTCTTCCTTTAAATGGTGTTCAATGTCACAGAAGGCTTACCTATGCTTGCTATGCTTATTGTATGGGATGAGTAGTGGGAAGAATATTTCTTAGAGCTTACTTATTGGGGTTAATGCCTTCTGCAGTTGCTTGAGGCAGCTTGGTGTCTCACAAATATTGCTGCAGGGAATCCAGAAGAAACAAAAGCATTGCTTCCTGCCTTGCCCTTACTTATTACTCATCTTGGGGGTGAGTGATCACTTTGAGATTCCTTTTGCCTTCACAGAAGTTAATTATTATTTTTATTTATATTTGTATATGATAAAGATTAATAGTAATTCTTATAGCTTGAATTTTTAAAGAATTGTAAGATATTGTCATATCTGAAAGGGATGGAAACATAATTATTTTTTGTAAATGTCCTCTTTTATACTCTATTCAGCATTATTATACAAAGTTGTTCTTGAAGGTTGAGACTATTTTAGTAATTTTAGTATTTACAGTTACCTTTTAAATTCATGAATGGTTTTCTTATGCAGAAAAGAGTTATCCAGCTGTTGTTGAACAGTGTGCTTGGGCTCTAGGAAATGTGGCCGGTGAAGGTGAAGAGCTTAGGAATCTTTTGCTTGTTCAAGGGGCTTTACTACCTCTTGCAAGAATGATGCTACCAGACAGAGGTTCTACTGTTAGAACAGCTGCCTGGGCTTTGTCTAACCTAATAAAGGTTTCGGATACATCAATTAAATAACTTGCTTTTAACATATTGTTTGTTTTGATCGACCTTTTTGTTACAACTCTTTAATAATAGCTGTTCTACTTCATCCGTCTACTTGAGAATTAAACTGTAAAATAATTATAGAGGACTTGATTGATCCCTCTCACAATCTTCTATTTATAAGAATAAATTGATACAAAAGTACCTGATAAATAGAGTAACCCTAGACACAATATAATCATGATAAATAGGGTAATCCTAGAAACTATATAATCATGATAAATAGGATAACCCTTAACACAATATAATGATAAAATAGGATAAATATCCTAACACTCCTCCTCAAGCTGGAGCATACAAATTGTATGTACCAAGCTTGGAACAAATAAACTCAATTCGAGGACCCCTTAATGACTTGATCAATACATCTGCGAGTTGATCGTTTGACCCAATAAACTTAGTACATATTTCTTTAGTCAACAACTTTTCACGAACAAAATGACAATCAATTTCTATATGTTTAGTCCTTTCACTTTCGGCAACATGATTTGATGCAATGTGGAACAGCAGTTTGATTGTCGGCAATACATCTCCATATTAGGGGAATGTCACAAATGTCACCCTCGTGTGTTTCAGCACCCATTATAAGTTCAACATGTTAGTGATGGCATTGCCCTATACTCGAACTCCTCGCTTTCCGATTGCGATCTAGCTACTACTCGTCTTCTTACTTTCTAGAATATGTTTCCTTCACTCAAAACACAAGTATCCTGTAGTAGACTGTCCTATGAACGGTGACCCTCCAATCTGCATCCAAATACCCAGAGACCTGAATGCTTCCTTTATCTTCATACAACAATCCTTGCCCGAGAGCCTTCTTTACATACCTTAGAATGCGAATGAGAGCATTCAATGGTCCAACACATGGAGCCTGCATTACCTGACTAACCACTCTAACTACAAAGGATAGATCTGACCTTGTAATAGTAAGATAAATCAGTTTTCCAACCAGCCTCTTATACCTCTCTGGATGGAAATAATTCAACACCTTTTCCTTCTTATTTTTGGTGTTCCGGTTCATGGACTGCTTTACCGGTCTACATCAAATCAGGCTGTTTCTTGTAATATCAAAGCATACTTTTCTCTGGGAGATTCAACTGCCATCTCTTGATTGGCTCTACCTTCAATGCCTAAGAAGTATTTGAGACTTCCCAGATCCTTGGTTGAAAATGTCTACACAATACGCTTTTATGAGGTTGAGATATTCCCAATACATCATTTCCATTTTTCCCTGTAAGGACCAATATCCTCAACAGATACTAATTAAGTAAACACATTTCCCGAGAGAATAATGACAGTAAAAAACTGAATGGTTTGCTTCACTGCGTTTTAGCCCAAATTTTTGAACAATGGAGCTAAACATTCCAAACCAAGCACGTGAGGATTGCTTGAGGCCATATAGAGATCGATGCAATTTGCATAACATACCAGACTCCTCCTGAGCAACAAACCCAGGAGTTGCTACCATATAAACTTCTTCCTCAAGATCACCATGTAGGAAGGCATTCTTGATATCCAATTGATAAAGTGGCCAATGACGAATGATTGCCATGGTAAAGAAGAGGCGAATAGTAGTCATCTTAGCTACAGGAGAGAAAGTGTCACAATAATCAAAACCATAAACCTGAGTGTAATCTTTTAACAACAAACCGAGCTTTAAGCCTCAGGTCTATTTCATCCATCAGGGCTGACTTAAAACTGCTACACCCAT